GCAACGTACAGACGTCCTCACAGCTGGTGGCAACAAAGATCAGACAGAAGACGTCCTAAGAAGCCTTAAACATGTGAGAGAGGGCCGACACAGGGCAGAGTGTTTAAGGTTTCATTCCATGTGGGAGTAAAACTGATTTATACAGCAGTTTAGGACTGAAAGTAAGTCTGCGCAAAAAACTCTAAACTGACTCAGAAACAAGACGATTACACCCTCAGTCCTGATACTGAGTCACGCTTGCCCCAGGCCTGAGGATGTCAGGTTACCTTGTAGCAGAGGGTTGCCAGGTTTGACGGAGACTCCTCTCTGACGGCTCTGATCTCTGCCGCAGGAACCAGAGCGAAAACATCCTGAACCGTGGTGGAGGAGTCCACCCAGAACTGATCCCAGAACACGTCGTCTGAGGCTTCGACGGGCTGCAGGAGAGGAAACGCACACTAACATCAGTGTGTGTGTGTGTGTGTGTGTGTGTGTGTGTGTGTGTGTGTGTGTGTGTGGCTCATCTGCTGCTAAATACATTGTGTTGATGAGGAGGTACGATCTTTCCTTTTTGCTTCATGGCCGACAGAAAACATAACCAAGGATCAACAAGCTTATCCAAATTATTCACATACAGTAACACATTTAATTCTCTGTCAATCAACTGAATGAATTAACAACATTTACATTACTGATAACTTAGTGATTTTATTTTCCCATTAACTAATTAACCATTTCAAAGCTAAATAAAAAAAAGCTGGACATAAAAAGATCTCAAACGTTTTGAGTCACCCTTCATTTCTTCATAATTTCCATAGGAAATCGGAGCAGTGACCTATGGAAACATCTGCAAACATGTTATAAGACAGAGTTTGACATTAAATGTTTGGTGTTACTGGCTTTATTCCTCAGCACAGCCTGAACTCTCTGAGGCAGCTTTCTGTAATTTATTTCAGGAACAGCTCTCTAAGCCTCTTGCATCCCAAAAAGTTTTCCTAGCTCTGGGGAGGCTACTCCATCACTGATAGTCTAGCCAATCAGAATGTACTTTTCTGTGTTCATAATCTCATAAATTCTCAGTTCTCAGTGTAAAACACCACAGAGGGATGTAGCTGATGAGCTGTAGCATGAAGATATGGGACAGAGTTGTTGAAGCTAGGTTAAGAAGAGAGGTAACGATCAGTGAGCAGCAGTAATGCAGAGAAAGAGCCCAGCAGAGTGCGCTTCAGAGTATTGATGGAGAAGTAAAGAGAAGTTCACAAGGAGCTTGGCTGTGTCTTTGTGGATCAGAGAAAGAATAAGAATAAGAGAGGAACTGTGGTGCTGAATGAGGAAGTCATGTGAGACAGCGGTGAGGTGTGCTGAAGGAGCCAGAGATGGGATCGAGGTGGGACGACATCACGGATGTGCTCTGAGCCCCAGGCTGACAGACGAGGTCAGGCAGGAGTGTCTGTGGACTCTGATGTCTAAGCAAGCAGTCGATTAATCAGACAAAGTCAGTTCTTTAAAGATCTCCTTCAGTCTGACCAACACTGAAAAATAAAGACGATGCAGGTTTAACCCAGGATAAATATACTTGAAAATTGATTCTTATTTGTCTATTTTAGCTAATCAACCAATCACTTCTGCTTCGAACACAAGAGTCCATATGAGCCCATAAACACCCAGATTCCAGCTTTACCAGCAGCTGACCTAACATCTGTTTCACGCTACAGCAAACCACCACCCACACACCACCTGGATCAGTTTCGATCACTCGACCAATCGATTAACGTTGCAGCTGTCCCGTCCAGCCCTGTTACCTTTAAACACACCTGTCAGCCAGAGAAACAACTGCTGGCCCAAAACGGATGCAATCTTTAATATTCCCATCTGCACATTAAAGCCGTTTAAGGATCACGTCACAGACAAAGTCCAAAATGACTGTTTGGAGTCCCTCAGACTGCATAAGAAAAAGAAGAAAATCCGTATTCTGAGAGGCAAGCTTGCTTTCTGTTCAAAAATCCTCGTTTATGAAATAACTCCAATGATTTTTTCAGGTTTTTCTCTCCACTTTGTGTGACGTACGCTGCCATCTGGCACTCCAACTTTATCTCCACATCTCCACTAACGCTAAAAGCCAAACGCTCAGCGGAACTTTCCTCATGTCACCTTTTAAAGAAAACAAAACCCGACCTGTGTTTTGGTTGTCAGCTGGACCACCGCTTTCCTGAAGTGAAGTTTGCTGTCTGCGTTTCCCATATTTCTGTCTCCAGCCACCTGCTGCCTGCCTGCCTGGATCCACAGGGAGGATAATCTGCCTCATCCACAGCGCTGTGCGGCCGCTGCGTTCAGGTGCAGCTCGGAAAAGTCACGCTCATGCTGCTTCCAGCGTAACAACTCTCACGTCGCGATTGTGTTTCATTCAAACACACATTTCATTATTTGTTTGTACTAAAAACAAGTATGAATATTTGTGAAAGTAAATGATACATAAATCCAGAGTAAAAATCAGCCCGTGCAAAACTGGGAGGAAGCTAAAGCCACGTATAAAGCCCCCTCAAAGAAACCCAAGCACAATAAAGTGGAATAAAATAACCTACACTTCAACTTAAATCTTAAATAAAGAAGCTAAGCTGCTTTATGAAGAAACAGGGAGATGTTGTAATATCCGTGTATGCATTTTCGTAGGAATATTGCAATATGGATTTTTTTCTTATAATTTCATGGAAAATTCCCAAACATTTAGTAAACCTCCCAAAAAGAAGAGTTTTTGTAGGACAGACACGATAAGACAAACTCTTTTATAAGCAGTTTCATAGCAAACTGAACAAATGAATAAAATACTTTATTTAAAAAGTTATTTTAAAAAATGAATAAAATAATAATGAAAAGTTTTGTGGTTAAACACTGAGAGAATTGGAAATGAGAAATATGGAAATTATCCAAATATCTACGAATGCATTACAAGCACGTTAGCTAAAAAATGCCACAAAACAAGTAAACAAACAAATTAATAAATTCAGTATTAACGAATTAAAGGCACATTAATAATACCAAATAAACAATAAAACAATAAGGATTTTATATGCTAACAAATATAAATATAAATATATGTAGATAAAATAAGAGAAAACCAACCGAATATCACAAAGTAAAATAAAAGATATTCAACAACATTTAACGGATAAAACATGTAAAACCATTCTGGATAAAAATACACATTTAATACGGTATCAATCAAATTATTGTTTATTATTGCGATATGCAATTAAAATCAGGATTTTCCTAAATTAATAGAATCTTTAATTAGCTCCTCTGTCTCAACAAGAGTTGTAGCGATTACCTCGAGTCCCTGAAGGCAACATCAGCCCAACAGGATCCAAACGAGGCGACTTCCGGGATCCTAATGTACATATTTGCTTTCGTGCTTTTCTCATTCTTCTTCAGTTTGCTTTCGTTTACATAAAGGAACATTCAAGAGATCACTGAAAATACGTCATCGTGACGCCACAGTCACCTGCATCTTCATGTCACCTGAAGGCAGGAAAGTGATGCTCGTTAACGTGCACCGTTAGCGCGCACAGAGCCCCTTCAGGTCCAGTCAGGATAAATGAGTTCTGGCGTTTATGGAGCAACAGCGACATCCAGTGACTTCACTACAAAAACAGGCCAATCACATACAATTAATGTCAGTACTGTTTATATATATATCGAGTTATTTTAACTTAAAGTTTAAAAGCAAATTATTAAATTTAATAGCAAAAATGCGTATATATTTATTTGTTATAAATTAGCTTCTGCGCAAATACATATGTTATTTTAACTTATATACTTTAGAGAAGCTGTGACAATGAAGTCAATGCTGTAAATGACTCAGTGACAAACTAGCTCAAGGCCACTTTAGTTGTGTATGATCCCGTTTTGCAGCTTGGTACAGAGCCCGCCACTGTGTTTTTGTAAATCACTTTGCAGTGATGGTACTCAAGTAAAATTTGGTACTATCATTTATTTTAAATTGAGATAGAGAAAAATCTGACTCTCTTTTTTTTTTTTTTTTTTTTGAAAAACGGGTATAGCCCCCTGCTGGGCGTCAGAGGTAGTGCAGGTTTAAGTCTAACTTTGTAACATGGGGCGAATTTGGACATTTTCTAGTTTCAGGTCTTGCTAAATACAGCAGGTCTGTGGTCTGCAACCAGAATGAAAAGAGACAAAAACAATTAAACTATAAAACACGACCTGTTTGACCGATGAACCACCAAAAAAATTCGTAGTCTTCAGGAATAGTTCTCCAGGCTTCTTGAAGGACATTTAAAGCTCTTCTTGGGACGTTGGTGGTTTTTGTTAATCATCCCATCAAGCTCTAAAACACCACTGGCTCAAATCAACCCATGACAGAGTCTACACCATGTTGAACAGGTTTCACACTGTTGTAATTCTCTTCTGACCTCATCCTTACAAATGTTCCTTTTTGTTTGGTGAACCAAGAAATGTCAAATTTGGATTCATCACTCCATAAAACCTGCTGCCACAGGTTTCAGTCCAGTTCTTGTGTAGTTTGGCATAGTCAGCCTTTTTCTCCCAGTTTTTGTTCCTTGGAAGCAAAATGTAAAGAAATGAGGGTTGACTCAAGACTTTAGCACAGCACTGTATACACATATATACATATTTGTGTCAGACCACACCCACTAAAATCCCCAAACCATTTCTTGGTACATCAGTAGTGTGAGTTTCCCAACAGATTATGCTGTATGGAAGCAAACACAGTGCAGAAATGTGATATTCAGACAAATATGAACATGTTTTATTTAATCAAACATCCTGATTCATTTAAATCCAATTATAGTTACCTTCAGCATGTAAACACCTGCAGTTCTAGACTGGCTGACATACCAGAGATACTGATATGCTCCCTGAAAACTGATGGTGTGGATTACCAGTGATGACTCATTCCCATGTACTGTAAACAGCTATTTCTTCACTCTACATCTAGTGGGTCAGCCAGCCAGCTGTCAGCCAATGAGGACTCCTCCCTCCACTGAACAGAATAAACCCCGAGGAGGCTGCCACTCTGCAAGCACGCTCATGCAAAGCCTTCAAACCGAGCCGAGAAGCATCATGAAAACAATGAGAAGCTTTTTCCTCTGCGCGCTGGCTTTCTTGTCAGCAGCTCAGGCTGTGAGGACAATTATTTTTATCTGTTTATATTTTTTATTAACTCCAATTTTATGTTAGTCTTCTTTCACGAGGCTTTATTTAACTTTTTAAAATGTTTTCAGGGCCTGCTGGATGAAAGGAGAAGGCGTGAGTTAGCTTTTTCCCCCCACTCCTCCTCTTCCTCGTCTTCGTTCTCCTCGTCCTCTCAGCGTTCAGGTGAGACGCTTTTATTCATCTCCTGAGCATGAAATGTGTAATTTACTTTGGCAGCAAATAAGCAAAGCTGTATTTAGACAGCACACTTCATTCCAGGTGGAAGCACAAAGTGCTGCTCCTATGATTACCTACAATACTGTGCAAAAGTCTTGAGCCACCTGTATTTATTTATATTTTGCCAGCTTGAAAGTCAATATTTGATGTGACTTCTTGTTTTCCTCAGCACAGCCTGAACTGAATTAGCTCTCCAAGCTTGATGTAGGAGAATCAGCGCTTTTGTGTGGCTGTTGGCTGCCGTCTGTTTCATGATCCCACACTGCTTCAGTAATGTTGCATTCTGGGCTCTGTGGGAGGCCAATCCATGACTGTATGACAGGAAGAATGTGAATGTAGGTCAGTGGCTTAAGGGGCTTAACAAACAACAGCAAACATTGTCAGCTACAAAGACTGGACTGAAAACAAATGAAACAGTAGCTTTAAAATAATTAACAAAAGCAATCACTGAGCCTCCCCCCATCAAAAAAACAAACGAACTAAAATAAATAAAATCACGCAGCAGCAGAAATAAAATGATCATTTGACCCATAAATAGAGTGCTGAAAGGTGAGTCACCTAATGTGAGTCACCGGGTCGTTCCTGTGGTTTGGAGCATACAGCAGTTTCACCTGTACTCACCTGGGAATAACCAGACAGGCTGTTCCAGATTACTTGTGGCTGGTTCACCGCTTACACATGTATCAGAGAGATAGTGCGTGACCTGGATGTTACTGAGTCAGGTTAGGGTTAGGGTCCAGCCCAGGGTCCAGACTCCCGTTTGCCGTCAGAACTTCCTTCATTTTTGCTGACAAAGATTCAACAAAGCGCTAAAAACATTCCTCAGAGATTTAGTCCGTGTCGACATGATATCATCATGGTGCAAATTTCCTGTTCCACCACATCCCAAATTTTATCTACTCGATCTGAGGATTGTGATATGGCTACTTATCCCCCTGGAGGCACTTGTTATAAGATGGGCACACTGTGGTTATAAAGGGATGGACGTGGTCAGGTAGGCGGTGAAACTGCTGTGATTGGCTGATTAGATATTTCTTCTTTCTTCTAATGAACTGGCCAGTCAGTCTTACTGCTATACCTTGTATTATATGACCTCTTATTTTCCAGCCACATTTCATAATCATAAAATATGCTGTCGATGTGGGTCTCAAAAGAGTCGTCAGCTTTCGTCTTATTTTGTAGGTGAGATTTGTCTCAACGGCGGCACCTCGGTCCCAGCGCTGATTTCTGGTGCACACCTGTTCTGTCGCTGCACTGATGGCTTTGAAGGCACACATTGTGAAACAGGTGAGCAGCTCAGCAGCAAACCAAACGTTACTGATAGTTTTCAGATTTTCTAATCGCCCTCACCTGTCATACTGTTACTTCAGTAAAAGCGAGTCACTGCTATGAGGGAGTGGGACTGTACTACAAAGGCACAGCATCTAAAACAGTCAGCGGACAAACATGTTTGCAGTGGGACGAGGAGACCCGGAGGCAGTACCTGCATTTGGACATCAACGCCGGGAAGCACAACTACTGCAGGTCTGAGTTTGGATCTTTGAAGTTTCACATGCCTTTTGCAAAATGTTGGATAGTTGGAAGAAAAAAAATATCAGTGTCTCCCACTAATCAGCTGGGCTCCTTCATATTTTTAAGCGAGTGTAAAAACCACAGCACTTTATCTTCAGCTGTTCTAGCAGTCCAGCTCTTTTAATTCAGGCGTTCATAAACCATAATCTTTAATCGAATAATCCAAACACCAAACATTACAGTTCATGCTACAGATTCCAGTTTTGTGACCAACTAGTCTCAGCAATCAGAGACAGTGCTCATATCAAACCTGTCAGTGTTAGCAGAGACGGTTAGAAAATGTTTTCAGGTCTTTCATGGCCAGATTCCATCATTTATACTCCAACCGTTTGCATATGTTCGTCAGGCTGGACTGTTTGTTTACTTGGATGGTTTGTTTTTTATTTTTTTTATTCAGAAATCTTCACTACAGACGTCGTCCGTGGTGTAACGTTTGGAAAAACCTGCAGCTGGTGTGGGAATACTGCGATATGCCGCTTTGCAATTTCAAGCCACGTAAGTGTGTTCTCTGATGGGACTGTTATTAAAGTCAGTGAAGCATTTTTCATTGCTGGTGCATCAGTCACTGGAGCAAAAGGAGCCAAATTTATGGGGACCAGGAGGGAGAATAAAAGTCCAAAATCCACCATGGATTCAAAGTATAGGAGTTTTTCCAAATGCAGATGAAAATGTAACTGAATTCTGGAAAATTGGCAAAAAAAAAAAAAAAAAGCTAAATAATCTCTTATTTTGTTTAGAAGGGCATAAATATATTTTCTCAGCAGTTCTTTAAGTCTCACTCTGCTTTGGTGCTGGAGACTTTGAGACTTAGAGTATATAAAAAAATCTCCAATGAGAATTTAAAAAATAACCCAGAGTTTAAAGGGTTAAATGTTCTGGGAAACATCTTTTGCATTAAAAAACCCATTTCTGTCTTATAGTTCCACCTGTGGCTTCACCTGTCCCCACCCAGCCAGAGCACGGTGAGTCCTCACTAACGCCTGTGAATCCCATTCCTCGCTTCTCTCAGCGACATTTTTCAACTTTTTTTCATTTTCCAGTTGCAGAGATGACGACATGTGGCCAGCGCACCAGAAGAAAGCAGCTGAAGATCGTTGGCGGAACAGTTGCCACTGTGGAATCCCACCCGTGGATCGCTGCCATATTTTGGCGCCCTAAATCCAGAGAAAAAGTTTTCCGCTGCGGGGGCAGTCTGATCTCCGCCTGCTGGGTCCTCACAGCTGCCCACTGCTTCCCCGACGGGTAGGAAGTGAGACCATTTACTGGAAATGCAGCAGGTGGTGAGAAATAGCTGTGACTGGACTTGTTTTGTGAATTTGTGTTTCAGAAATAACACCATAGCAGAGCGCTTCACCGTCACCCTGGGGAAAAACGCCCTGAACGAGAGCAACCCGAGCGTGGAGCAAAAATTCAGGGTGGAAAAAATCTTCATCCACGAAGGGTTTGATAACAACGAGGGGAACTTCAACAACGATATTGGTGTGAACACACAAATTAAAACATCTTTTGAAACTAAGTTTTTAATCAAGCAGAGCGTTACTCCAGCCTCACTGCCCACAGTTGCAATGCATCTGCAAGCTGCTTTGTAACCCACTTCCACCCCAGCTGTTGTTCTGTGCGTTTTACTGTCAGGTGCCAAAACAGTCAATCCACCAAATAGAAGTTTTGACAGTTAGAAATAACACTTATCTTTGACTATAATTTAAAATATGGAAAAAATATATATTTATAGCAATACGTGCTGGGGGGGTTTTCTCAAAAAACTTGAAAAGAATGTTCAGATTTTAGTCTGTTTGCCTCTATCAGTTAATGAAATCTCAACAAAGAGACACTCGTCCTTTTTTAAAAAATTGGTTTAGGGGTTAATGTCTTTTTAAAATAATACTTGGCTGCTTAACACCAAGGCTGATACTGCTTCAGATCATTTCCCATTAAAAGGGAGTTCTTCCTCCATACTCTCAGCAAGTGCTGCTCAAAGGGAATCATGTGATCAAGTGTCTCAAATGGTTAAAAGTTTGATTCCTGCCTGAGACATAAATTCCAATTGGGGTTGTGTTAGGAAGAACATCTGGTGTAAAAACTCTGCCAAAATCAAACGTGCAGCACTTTGGTGACCCCTTGTGGCTTTATTTACTTTACTATGGAAACGCTCGGACCCTAAAAGGAATCTTAAACCAGCATCCCACATTAGATGGATTTTAGGATCTAGTTACCTGACAAATTTAGTCATTCTGCAATAAGATTTTAGAATTCTCTTGAATTTCAAAGGCCTTTTTCTTAAAGCTGTAATTCAATCAAAGGTGTGATTGTTGATAATTGTCTTGCAGCTCTGGTGAAGCTGAAGACCAAACTTGGTAAATGTGCTAAGGAGAGCAGCGCTGTGAGGACGGTCTGCCTGCCGCCACCTCAGCAGAGCCTGCAGCCAGGATTCACCTGTGACATTGCCGGATACGGGAAAGAAAGTCACGGTGAGGAGAGTCCTCTGAGCATTGTTCTTACATCTGACAGAAACAAACGTATATCAAGTATGTCTACACTAAAATATTACACCTGTAAGTGAAGCCTGAAGCAAATCGAACATTAACTACTTGCAGATTTATGTGTTCGATCCAATAATAACTTTTGTGCTGTTTCAAGTTGAGCTGATCTGTCCACTGAATGTTTGCACACCGGCTACAAAGTCGGGAATCATTGACACACTCTGAACTTTGTGCTCATTTTTCTTTTGTTATGGGAATATTATTGGAAGCCTTACAAAGACAAGTCACCAGCTATCAGTGTAGTAGAACAAGTGAAGGAAACAGAGGCTCATTTAAAACGCCTAATTTCTGTAACTGCAGCACATAATCATAATTATGTTCACCCTTCAGGGCTTTAACACTCCTCTTCTCTCCAGCTTTGTGGTACAGGTCTCAATACCTAAAAGAGGCTCAGGTGAACCTCCTCGCCGACAACGTGTGCCGAGGGAAGGATTATTACGATAACATGATTACTGATAACATGTTTTGTGCCGCTCGTCCCGACTGGAGTCAGGATGCCTGCGAGGTATTTGCACACGTCTGGTCTCGACTTTGATTCCAGAGGTCGGTTTGTCAGTTTCCTTCAGCGCTGCTTGTCTTTTCTTCCCCTGCAGGGAGACTCAGGAGGCCCTCTGGTGTGTGAAGTCGGAAGCAGGCTCTTCCTGTTTGGAATAATCAGCTGGGGCGACGGCTGCGCCAAAGAGCTGCGTCCCGGTGTTTACACCAGAGTGACCAATTACAACAAATGGATAGAAGCGAAGACTCACCTGGGGTCCATCACCGCTGGAGCCATGTTTCCTCAGAAATGACCTTTAAGGCCCGCCCACATGTAGAGGCATTTGCTGGAGAATATTTCAGGTTGTGGTTATGCATGTAAACCTCATGTTTTGTTTCCACTGGTTGCAGTACAAATTGTTGGTGGTGGTGCTGTTTTTATTGTTCTAGTAGTTGTATAGCAATAATATGTTTATTATTCGTATGAACAAATCCCAAGACACAACAAAAACTGGCGGTAATTGTAGCCTACGGCCCTGTATTTCGGTCTGAGATGTGGGAGTAAGCCACAGTATTAGTACAACATCAAAACATGGCGTCAGAAGACCTGTGAAGCCTTGGACTGAATGCTGTTTTCTAGCCAAGAGATGTCCAGTCAGAAAGAGATAATTTGATACGTAATTTGAATGGTAACATCCATCCATCCATTTTCTTCTGCTTATCCGGGGCTGGGTCGTGGGGGCAGCAGCCCAAGCAGAGAAGTCCAGACCTTCCTCTCACCAGCCACCTCCTCTAGCTTCTCCGGGGGAACACCAAGGCGTTCTCTGGCCAGCCAAGAGATATAATCTCTCCAGTGTGTCCTGGGTCTGCAGACCCCGGGGCCTCCTCCCAGTGGGACATGCCCAGAAAACCTCACCCAGGAGGCATCCTTGTCAGATGCCCGAACCACCTCAACTGGCTCCTTTTGATATGGAGGAGCAGCCGCTCTACTCTGAGCCCCTCCAGAATGGCCAGCCACCCTTCGGAGGAAGACGATTTCAGCCGCTTGTATCAGCGATCTCGTTCTTTCGGTCACTACCCACAGCTCGTGACCATAGATGAGGGTAGGGACGTAGATCGACCGGTAAATTGAGAGCTTCGCTTTTACACTCAGCTCTCTCTTCACCACAATGGACCGGTACAGCGTCCGCATCGCTGCAAAACATCTTTCTGAAAATTCGGCCATTTACCATGTGTCGTAAACATAATCCAGCGCTAACCTTGGAACGGTCGCCTGGACTGCAATAACTCAAAATCTTACCAAGTATATTTGTCTTATTTCTCATCAAAATGATCTCATTACACTTAAAATAAGACACAATCAGCTACAGAGCAACATTTCAGTAAGATTTCGCTACTTTTCTCAAAATTTCGAGTTAATAAGTTGGAATTTTGAAATTTATCAAGTCAAAATTTTGAGAAAATAAGTTGAAATTTCAAGTTATGGATGCTTTTTTTTGTTGTTGTTTTTTTGTGGCAGAAACGGGCTTCCATACACCTGTGACTTGATGGATGTTAGCATTAAACACAAGAGACACTAAAACACATCATGAAAAACATGATTTAAGCCATACAACAGAATAAAAGAAACAAACATTAACCCTTTCACACATAGTGGTCACTACAGTTACAGCTATTCAAAGGCCGTTGTTAGAGTTTGTATTGTTGATTGTCATTTATGCTTAGAAATATTTACTTATATATGCTTAGAGTTTTGTAATTAGTTGTAGATTGGTAGAGGTTTTGATCCTTGATAGTCTGCAAACTTTGTGTGTATTAGACAGCACTTTGGGAGCATGAGAGGTCATACCGTGTTTATTGTTTTATGGTAGAATCAACGTAGTTGCGTCTGTTCTAGTCTAAGTGCTCTTTGTTTAGATGAACTGCAGGACTTCCTCACCGTGTTATCTAGGATGAACCATCTAGGGTGAGGGGGAGGCTACCCTCTTCCTGACCAAGGATGTTTGACCCTTTGATCAGCAGTCCACACACACACACACACACACACACACACACACACACACACACACACACACACACACACACACACACACAGGCAAGGTACTCTTTGTGTTTATGTAAGACGTCATATGTTAATGAACCTATGCATATTCATGTAACCTCAATAAAAGGACAGTGTACGGGAGGACGGACGAGAGCAACTGGGGTCAAGCGAAGGAACGGTGCCTGTCCGGTTCTCTCCCGTGCACGAGAAACATGAAGAAGTTTGCCTACTTGTGTCTTGCTTTGCGGTGTAATTATATTGTCTTCAACGTTCCAGCGGATAGATTCAAGCTACAAACCTATCAGCCGTGTTCTTGTATTTGTGTCAGTGTTGATGGTATACTTGCACATAAACCACTACATTGGACACTGATGTGTCCCTCCATAACCTGCTACCCACTGGTCATTTAATGTTACTATAGCTGTGTGACGTGTTTCACTGTAAGTATTGTTATTATTGTTATTTTTCTTAAGCATTTTTATTCATCTTTTCATGGCTAAAGATGATTAAAAATACTTAAGTAAAAAATCCTGATTGAGGTTGACTTAATTCATGCATGAAACGGTTAAAAGACAAATTAAACATTAAGCGGTTAAGTTAGCATAACAACACCACACAAGTACACAAGCTAACACCAGTAAGCAGTGTTACTTGCTTCACTTGTCAGTGGTTTTAATGTTGTGGCTGACTGATGTGTCTCATGCAATAGAGTGAATACACACTCTGAGTCTCCAAATATGAAAACATGTTACTGTTTCACAAACACACGAGTAAGCAATGGGCTTCAGACTGAGTTAATGTTAGTATTAAAATGAGAATTCAACAAGTTCATTCTTATCTTAAGAGCCAGTGTTACCAGTGTTTTTGCTGGTTTTATCATCTTCCAGTCAGGTTTACCTTAGCTCAAAGTTAAACACTTTAGAAATCACTCCTGTGCTTCTGCTAGTAAAGTGACAATGTGCAGGACTTATTTGTGTGGAAACTTTAAATCTGCTGTGTTTAAATGAAATGCTGATGTTCTTAGAAACAGAGTAATGTGTAATGCTGTGTGATGGTTATTGTGTCTGTATCTAGTCAGGTCCACACCTACTTATTCACTGGTTTCATTGTAGAAGTTAAGAAATCAAAACTATGTAGTCACACAGATACCGATGACAGACCGGGACACTATTGTTGGTGTGTTGCTCAGGTTCATGAGATCATACCTTGAATAATTTGAACACGGCTCTTCCAGTAGCTGAAACCTGTTAAAATTCAGGAATCTAAAATGCTTCATTTACACTTGCTGCAGGCTACATCCATGTGTTATACTATATATATTTTGTAATTCAAAAGTCTTCATCTTTGTTCTACACGAGGCTGAAATAAGCAGGTCTGCCCAAACCTGGTTACTGTATCATCTCGAGACATATTTTTGAATTTTTATGGATTCGTCTGCAGATTTTCTTCAGATATTTTCTTCTTTAAATGAAATAAACTTTATTTTACTGTTTTTCTAACATTATTCACTGGATATTATTGAACTTTGGGAATTTCCCTGTTGATGCAAAAACACAACCTTCTGTCTGTCAAACTTTGTTATCTTTAACATTTTCATAGATTCAATCAAAGAAACTGGAACAAATGCTGTGTTTTTCCAACAGACAGCTAGTAACAAAGTGCCTAAAGATGCAATTTAAAACTGGTTCTTTGCAGATGGTGAGGGGTTATCAACCAGCGTACTCCTAGTGCTGGTCTGAAGTCTGATAAATGGGGAGCACTGCACCAAGCAGAGCATCGGCATAAAATCTTTACCAAATTAAACATCTGGATTATCAAGAATGGGATTACCTGATCGATCAGGGCCCAAGTTAGCAACAACAACTGCTGGCACCAACAGGGTGCCAGTTGGTCAAAGACACAGGTGGAGGAGAGGGGGATGGCATATTTGGAACTAGTGAAAGGACATGCTTGTAGGCTCTTGCATACTGTGTGTGCAAGAGCCTAGGTAGAAGGAAGTAAGGTAGGGAGTATGGCAAGCAAGAAGATGCTAAGATTTGTGATCCTGAACTGCTTATCCTGAAGTGGATAAGCAGTTAGGTAAAAGGAGGTCTCAAAATAAAACAGAGCTATGATTCAGGGAATATCCTGGACGAGCCCCCACTTATCTTACAAGCCTCTTGCATGTAAAAAGCCTAGGAGACACAGTGAGTGTAACATAAAGTATAGGCAGTACTAACTATAGACTGAGCCTCCGAACAAACCTAACCATGTGTCAAATGAATTTATTTTACAAATTACGGTGGAGTATTTATAATTATACTACATTATTTAACATAAATAGGCAAGAAAAGAAAAAAAGGAAAGAAGTTAAGGCCAGGGTCTCCAAGACCAAAATAAGCAACAAATAACCCGACTCTTTAGAGAGTAAAGAAACATATTTCTAGGTTAAAACCAAAAAATACTAAATACAGATAAACTCCCCGGCTGGCCACAAAACAGGAGAAAAATATACATAAACAAAAACAGTAGAGAACTCCTCATCTAGCTGCCACTAACAAGTAAAACACTTTACGGACACTTTTTACTGGGGCTATATACAAAGTTACACACAAAGATCTGAATACTGTTCAGCTGTGCCAATCAGGTGTGAGAAACCTGGAACAGCAGCTCCCTTTCAAAAAGAGGCCAAAGTGTCAGTGAACGTAACCCAGGGGTCCCCAATCCCAGTCCACGAGGGCCGGTGTCCCTGCAGGTTTTAGATATCACCATGGATCAACACACCTGAATCACATGATTAGTTCATTACCAGGCCTCTGAAGAACGCCAAGACATGTTGAGAAGGTAATTTATCCATTTAAATCAGTTGTGATGGATCAATATAAACATATTTAAAACCTGCAGGGACACCAGCCCTTGTGGATTGGGACTGGGACCTCTGACGTAACCGATTTAAATTTAAATTGAAACACTGGTTTGAATCAGAGCTCCTGTGGTTGGCATCGTGGTGCAGTGGGAACGATTTTACACCGGATGATCTTCTGCCACCTTTCCCATATGATCTAGCTTTGAACTGGAATGAGAGTACACTGGTGTGCCCCC